TTCTCTCTGGAGAAGATACACTCCATCTAAATGTTATTTAATCTGTGCTGTGTATTTAATCTGTTCTATTTAGTCCTTCTTTGGTCAAGAATTTGACAGCATAGTATTTCATTTTGAACATTTTGATATTTTAACAAACGCGACTCGTCTATTTCAAGATAAAAATTCAAGACTAAAACCACACTACTTAAAATGAAGCGATACGATTGAATATATAATAACAGTAGATATTGAGTCGCTTGATGACCGAAGCCAAATCCAGTTTCAACATCTCGAAGTGAATTGGATCGGAAACTTTTGGACCTTCCTACGTAAATTTCATGCTCTATGTACTTAAAAACTATCGTCATTTTATCTTTTCACAAAGCATCTATTTTTCTCGACCGTTCTCCATCATTATGATGAAGATTTTGACTTTGTTTTTTTATTTCGGATTTATTAAGAATAATAACAGTGCCTAGATCAAGGCTCGACACCAGTATAATTCAGATGAGAATCGAATTTCCTTCCAGCGTAGAAAAATTGCACGAGAAGAATTAAATTAAATGCCAAAAGTCGCAATTTTGTGAATTCATAGGAACATAGAAATCACGATTGGATATAAGTTTATAATTCGAAAGAGTAATGAAAATTATAATTATTATACTTGTATTTATTTATTATCACGTTTAAATATTTTTTATGCACGCAGATTTATACGAATACATTTATTTGACGCAATTCATTTTCGCGTTTCATTTCCTGGCCTAGATCGCCTGCTTCGTCACATCTCTCAACAGGATGTAAATTATATAACTTCTATAAAACCGAGTAGCGCGATATTAAAACGATATTTTTTTATAATTGGAAATAGACTGATGAGTATAAAAAATCTTTTTCGGTCTTGAAACGTAATGAACAGAATCAGAGTAGTAATGTCACATATTAAATTAATAAGTATTTTAATAATTTTTAGCTAATAAGCATCCTTATAAGAATGTTTTAACATCAGATCTTAATATTCCTATTAACATAAGAAAAAATAACGATGTTTATTCAGAATGCTCTAAGAAGAGATTTCAAGATACGATACTGTAAAATAAACAAAACAATATTCACAGTTGATAATTATTCTTTCGACTACATTTTTCAATGAAAATATATTTTTAAATTATGGCTATCTTTAAACATAAAAATATTTTTTTAAATGTTTTCCGTCAATATTTTTTTCCAATAAATTTCTATTATCTCTTAGCTTCAATAATTAAATAATTCATATTAAATTGTTGCATTAAGTTGATATTTTTAGTTTTGTATAAAATTGTGCTTCGAAATCGAATAATAATCGGCGCATTGTTCGAGAGCGAAAAAATTATTATTACAGATAAGATCTCAAGTATTTGTTCTTCGTTTCTCCATTTCAAAATGCGTGTACAATATTCCGTCTTTTGAATAGAAGAGACGCGAAAGAAAAATAATAGATCAATCCTTCCTTCTGTCCTTCGGGCATTCATATAAGTAGATTATATTATTTATAAAAATACATTTTCCCGCGGCAGTGGAAGAAAAGGAAAGAATTTGCGTGGAATGAATCATGGGGAAGGGAGGGATGACTACCGCAAATTGCGCAGGTTTGTGGGGGCTCGTGAAGGAGGACCCGCCATATGCGAATTCCAGTAACACACGTATGCATGTAGCAATAGTAAACAAATCTCCACGTCGAATGCTCGCGGGCTCCACGACATGATCTCGTTGACGAAGATCGAAAAATCTTCGAGGGACAAGGCGGAAGTCATCGAGGTGACAGACGATCAGGACGATCCATACGAAGTAGAGAAATGTGCTCATTGGATCCGGACGAATGCCTTAAAACAGGTTTAAAGGATACACACGTTTTTAAAAATGCCTCGTGTATATACTAATGTAATAGTGTAGGATAGCATAGTTGCAGATCTCTCTAAAAGATTTAGCATGGTTTTTTTTCATAAATTAAAGATAAAGTTGAGGTTATGTGTCAATTTGTTAAAAACAATCTCTTTTCTAGAGATGTATCATTTGCATATATTTGTTATGTATTTGTTATGAGAATTGGATGGAAGAAGCCATAACAGTAATGATAATGTTAATCACATTGCTGAAGATATTTATTGATGGTAGATAAGATTAGCTAAGTTAAATTAATTGCAAACGTTTGGAAATCTCTCTCTATGGATCTATTTTTTATTCCTCATTAGACTGGGTTAGAATTTTTTTTCACTTTAGCCAAATACCTATCAAACGTATATCTATTTCATTTTAAGTTTCAAAAATGTACTTTATCTATAAAAAATAGATCTTAAATTATCTAACATATATTTGAACAGTTGAATAGCACATTATTTCATGGTTAGATACTTTTTGTTATATGTAATTATATGTATAACTTATTAGAATTCTATATAACTATGTAGAATTTTGTTATTAAATATCTTTTTGGTGTTGTAATGCTCTTTCGTGTATTATAGGTATGTCTACAGTTTCCAGACAACTTGTTACCAAACTCGGTAGAAGTTGCACTACGCTTAGAAAAGGAAGTAGGACAGAAAGTGTATATTTTAGGGGACACGACTTGTGGTAGCTGTTGTGTCGACGAGATAACAGCACAACACATTGATGCAGATGGCATAATACACTTTGGACACGCTTGCCTTAATCCCACTGCTCGTTTACCGATTTTTCACGTTTTACCGAGAAACCAATTGGACACGACGGAATTCGCTGACGAGTTTAAGCGAATCTTTTCCGATTGCACAAAGAAGATAGTATTTTTCTATGACGTGGCATATGCACATAAAATTGGTAAATGTTTAAAATATTGTTAGAAATAGAGAAAACTGGTGATGAAGGTGGAGATATAATGCAAATTGTATGATTACAGAATATATATATAATATATTGAAACCTATATATAAACACTTAATTATATCTAAATTAAATTGTACATCAAACGTGGAATATACTGATATAAAAAGCCCGGCCACAATTGTCTTAGGTAGAAATTATACTTTAGAAAATGGATATAAAATACAAGATTATGAAGGATTCTTTTTGGGCGAGAAAGAAAAAACTCTTGCGTTATTAGCGATGAGTATACCCGTGAAGAGGTGGTATTGTTCTACAAATCGTAAAATTACCGAGTTTGAAGCATTGAATACACCTTGGTTAAAACGAAGAAGATTCTTAATAGAAAAGTTGAGAGATGCCAAAGTTGTGGGAATTGTAGTGGCCACATTGGGCATTCAAGAATATTTAACAGCTATAAACACAGTAAAAAGAATACTCAAACAAAAAAATAAAAAGTCTTATCTTCTTAGTGTAGGAAAAATAAATCCTGCCAAGCTTGCAAATTTCACGGAGGTACGTCAGCTATGTGTAATATAATGAAACATTAATATATTGTAAAACATTAATATATTGAATTTAATTTTATCTTACTATGCAATTAGGTCAACGAATATTTTACTTTTATTTCAGGTTGATGCTTTTGTTGTGATAGCTTGTCCAGAGAATGAAGTATTCGACTCAAGAGACTTTTTTAAACCCATACTTACGGTGTACGAAGTTGAATTAGCATTTAACAGCGCGAGAGAGTTTTCTCCACAATATTTTATGGACTTTCGGCAGATATTACCTGGTGGTTCTCATTACATCGGTTTTAAGCCATCAATGGATTCGGATGTTTCTCTCATTACTAGTAACATTAGGAATTGCGAGAATGATACTTTATGTACAGGTATATTCAATTTATTTAAATAAAAATAAATTTTAAGAAATTAATAAGATATAGTAAAAACTGCAATCTTGAAATCATATTTTTAATAAGAAATTATTTAATATCTTTGGCCACATTAATTAATTTCTGGCAGATCAAAGAGATTTTTTTTCTACATTTTATGATTATTTTTACTAAAGAATTTTTTTTAAGGATTAAATTTTTTATATGTTTATATTTTCTGTGCAAACAATTTAAAGTGATTTTATGTAGACTGCAACAATTATTATATAGCAATTCTTTTATTAGGTACTGTTGCTATTGGTAAGGCTGGAGCTCAATATTTACAAGAAAGATCTTGGAAAGGTGTCGAACAAAGATTAGGTGAAGATCCTGTACAACCAGCAGAAACTGGTCGCATTGGATTAGCGTGGGAGTATACGAATGAAACGTTAAAAACAGATAATTATAATGCACAAATGGAATAAATATACTTCTACGTGTAGAGAATTTTCATTCATTCTTTTTTCCTGAAGTTTTTCGTCTCGTGAAATTTTCAAAATTTAGAAAGTATCAGAGGTATAATCAAATAAGTGACATCAATTAAACTATCAAAAAATGAGAGAGAGAGAGAGAGAAGTTCAAGAATTTCTATAATTTTAAGTCGTAACTTTGAAAATTTAAATGTTCAAAAAAATCGATAAAGATGAAAAGGATATTAAATAAGAATTGATACATCAAAAAAATGTGAGAGAACAGCGATTTAAAAAATTTTCAGTCCGCATGCTTGAATCGCAAAAATATTTTAAAACTGACTCATTCAAATATTTGGAAAATATAATCAATGATAATGGTTTAGTAATTAATAGAATACGTAGAGTGGCAATAAAAACTCCCAAGTATTTCAATTTTATAATCATAACTTTGTTTCTAACATCATTCCTTATATTTTACATTTTATCAACGAAGTATAATATTAAAAAATCAAGGTAAAGATAAAAGAGGAACTATTCTATTTCAATAAATATTCCCGCTTAGCAATATACCAAGATACAAACAGAGCATAACTAAAAATACAAAAATATCCTTTTTTGTATTTTTCTGTCAACAAAAGATTATTATTAATAATATCAAAAATTATTTTATATAATATACAAGGAATTTTGTATAAATAATAATAATAATCTAGGGAATTTTTTTATATCTGTAAAGACTGACGGCTGAGTCAGCTATGATCTTGAACATTCTAATTCACTAGTTACACGTCAGAATTCTCACAACTTCACCGAGCTTTAACAAAACATTGATATAAAAGAGAAAAAGAGAGCTGCAAAGCCGTCTTCTGCTACCTGCAAGATAATGGTACACCGTTGAGAAATGACATTTCGACCACGTTTCGTACTGTCGTGCAGGTGGAGCCTCGTCGTCGGGATCTTGCTGTTATGCGGTGTATCGCGACATGTGTCATACGGCGAGGACACAACTAACCTAAATACAAGCGGGATCGTCACTGAGAACAAGATCACGTTCGCGGTGACGAACGCTCCAGTCATTCCGAATGTCACAACAAACGTGAACATATCACCTGAAGTATCTAGCACAACGCGATTTGCAAACAGTACAAGCTACGTTGTCAGTCATAATGTTAGTTCAACCACTACGAAACCGCCACCATCATCATCCGCAAGCACGGTGCAACCTGACAATGTTGCGAGCGATCAAACGACCGAGAGAAGCAGTGCGACACCTCCAAGTCCCATCAATGACAGGAACACATCAGATATCCCTGTGTCATCGCAGAGTCCAGATGCTGTCAATTCAACCAATACCACCACGACTACAGCCGCTCCAGCAGAGCCGGTCCTGCCTGACAAGGGCTCTGCTGAAGAAGAGCACAACAGCTCCATGTCTATATTTTTTGTACTGTGCGTCCTAGCGCTAGGCATATTGTTAATACATTTGATGCTGCAGACTAATTTCCAGTATCTTCCCGAGTCAGTGGTGATCGTTTTCCTAGGCGCTGCGATTGGCATGATCATAAACCTCATGTCACATCAGAATATTGCAAACTGGAGGAAGGAGGAAGCCTTCTCGCCGACCGCATTTTTCCTAGTCTTACTTCCACCCATTATCTTTGAATCAGGATATAATCTGCATAAGGGAAACTTCTTCCAGAATATCGGCAGTATCATGGTATTTGCCATCTTTGGAACGGCTATCTCTGCATTTGTCATCGGTGCTGGAATATATCTTCTAGGTCTGGCAAAAGTAGCATACAAGCTTAGCTTTGTTGAAAGCTTTGCCTTTGGGTCGCTAATATCAGCGGTAGATCCGGTCGCCACAGTTGCAATTTTTCACGCTCTGGATGTTGATCCAGTCCTGAACATGTTAGTCTTTGGAGAATCAATTCTCAATGATGCTATTTCTATCGTATTGACCACCTCCGTCCTAGAGTCTAACAACGCGGCGACAACCAGCGAGGCTATCATACTTGGTCTGAATCGATTTTGCCTCATGTTCTTTGCATCTGCGGGTATTGGCGTGGTATTCGCTTTAATAAGCGCGTTGCTGTTGAAGCATGTAGACCTCAGGAAAAATCCATCTTTGGAATTTGGCATAATGTTAGTGTTTACGTATGCTCCATATGTTTTAGCAGAAGGCATACAACTGTCAGGTAAACATTTGTAATAATTATATAGAGAATTTCTTGATTGTATAACTGCTACTGTTTATTTACTAATCCATTTATATACTAATCCATTATTGCAGGAATTATGGCGATTCTATTCAACGGGATAGTCATGTCGCACTACACACATTTCAATTTATCAACTGTTACGCAAATTACAATGCAGCAGACAATGCGAACTTTAGCATTCATTGCTGAGACCTGCGTTTTTGCATACTTGGGATTAGCATTGTTTAGCTTTAGACATAGGGTATTGTATAATAAGAATATGATATAATATATTCAAATAGTCCTTAAACGCTTTTAATTCAATTTTCTTTTTTTTAAAGAGCTGCCAATATCTTTCCATTGGCCTTACTCGTTAATCGTTTCCGCGAGCATCAAATTACGAGGAAGATGATGTTCATCATGTGGTTTAGCGGCCTGCGCGGTGCTATTTCGTACGCATTGTCGCTCCATTTAGATTTTAGTGATGAAACACGCCACGTTATTATAACAACGACGCTTATCATCGTATTGTTCACAACTTTAATATTCGGTGGATCCACTATGCCTCTATTGAAATTTTTAAGGGCCGAAAAGAAGCAGAAAAGCAACAGCAGGCGGAAGAAAAAGGATAAGGAAGTTACATTGAGCAAAACGAGAGAATGGGTAATTTAAAAAGTCTTATGGTACAAATTAATTAATATACAAAATCTTTGTGTAGATAATACATTATTTTTCTATCTAGGGACAAACCATTGATTCCGAACACTTGTCGGAACTCACGGAAGAGGAAATGGAAGTATCCTTCTTGCAATCGCGAATTCGTGGTTTCGCAAGATGGGATCTGAAATTTTTCATTCCGTTCTTCACGAGACGATTTACGCAGCAAGAGTTGAAGGATTGTAAATCACAGATGACAGATTTGACGAATCAATGGTACCAAGCAATCAGAATTAGTCCAATAGAATCGGATGACGAAGCGACTACGGCATCAACCGCACAATTGAATTTGAATATCACTGGAACAGCTAAGGAACAACCGCGCGGGAAGGAGAAGAATGGACGTCCTAGACACGGGTCTATATTAAGTATTTAATTTATTTTGTGTGTGTGTGTGATGTGTCCTTAAGTGTGCTGAACTATGTGCTTTTAAATTATATTGCCTGTAAATGGGTGTATATATAAATATTTATTAATACTATTATTAAATCTATGATAACAGTATAAATATTTTCACAAGAATAAGAATTCGTTTTCATCAAAACTGCAACATTACTCTATTCTCATGAACTGAGAGCTTTTAAGATTTTCTCTATTTAAACTTAGTGCAGAACTTGTCTTTGATTTTAAATTTGCTTAATATTATTACATGACGTTTCATTAATGCACTTCATTGATATTTGAATGGCATATGGAAAGTTATTTCATATAATTCGCTAATTATTATAGTTTGTGGACAATTATATGGAAAGAGAAAGAGTAGTGAAACATTGTCAGTTTGCACAGCCAATTCTATACAGCTACAATATGAGTGAAATTTTTCTAAGATGTTAATAATTGTCCCTTGTATATCATATTTTTGTAATTTATTTGTTTCCGCCTAATATTTACACGTATCTGTATAATTACAAACATTATTATATTATTGCTTATATAGTGAACAAGTGTATTGTCCAATATGCTTGCCTTATTCAAAAGCAGCTTGGCAATGGTGATGGGCAGTAAATTGATTTCATCAAGATCGTAAAATATTAACAGAAGTATTATTAATTTGCAGAGCTGAGGAGGATTGGTCTGATTAAAGTCCAACTTATTTCCACATATATATTTTCTCCTGTGGAATATATTAATCTCTTATTCCATGTGTAATTCTTTAATAATATTGAATAATATTGAATAATATTGAATACTTGTTGAATTAATGAAGATTGTTTAGACTATTTAGAGACTATGTGATCTGATATTTTCGTTAACATTAGAGATATGTACAAATAACAGATTTCTATTTATGTTAATCTTGTTGTGCATATTTTTAATTATTCTAAAATTAAATTATATATGAAAGTAAAAAATTATAATAACCAGGAAACAACGAAGTCTCGTAATGTGCCGATAGTAATATTGCATATTTTATTTATTTAATATTATTTATCAATCATACAATTATATAATTATATATTAATAGCTATTAGTTACTTCAATAACTGATAAGCTATTCGAAAAGAACTTGATAAAATTAATGGTAAATTGATTGAAATAATTTACAACAGTCTGTATTCTTATTATCTCTTTCATAAAATTTTAATCTTGTAAAAAAAGTGCATTGTTATCTATATTAGTACAATGTTTATGCCAGTATTTCTTAGTATTTATGATATGAAATTGATTATACATTTGATCTTGCCAAAATATTGTAGCATTGAAAGTATTTAATTTGAACGAACAGAGAAAATTGTAAGAAATTAAAATTAAAAGGATCCGTTTCCTATTAATTACCTGCGACGATATTATTGTGAAGAGGAAATACGTATATCATGTGAATAATTACCAGCACGTTTTCGTATCATATCATTCGTGGGAGGAATGTGTTATCTTCTTCCTTTAGGCCGAGCGTTAACCCAGCTGAATTTTGTAGTTAGAAATCAGCTGGCGGAAAATATGCGAGTATATCTTATGTTCTACTGTTAAGAATAATCATGTGAAATATAACCGATTTGGCAGGCAATACAAATTCATTTTGTAACTAAGGATGTATAAGCGGGAAAGTATATTCACGGAATTGCGGAACGAATTTCGTTCAAGTATTCTCTCATTCTCTTCGTCCAATATTCGAAAGATGCATATATACATTAAGAAAAACGTGAACATATTGTACATTACACTTTGTACGATCGTAGTCACATCGAGGGACAATAAAGGTGATATAATTTGTGATATACATATAATATATAATAATAAACTCACATAAAGCAAGACTTCAAGCTGTTACTTTTCTACCTTAAATGACGAATGACAAGTGGAAAAAAAAGAGAACCAATTTATTTTGTTGCGAATTTATTTTCCATGTTATATATCGTTCTCTCTCAGATGGGGGTAGGGGAGGGTACATGGTTGTCTGGTATTTTTTTATTCTTTACGGCAGGGCACATAACGGAGGCAGCGTCTAAACATCAAATCCATTTATTCGTTCGATTCGTTATGGCTATTTTATTATGCTCTAGAGTTCTTAACGCTTCGCACGGTCGTTACATCGAGTGACTGGAGCACGAGACATTAGCGTACAATAGATTCGCAATGATTATATTAGGTATTTTTGTTTTCCTCTCTCTTGAGCCTTTCCATAAGCGTCGTGATCCACTAAAGATATCCGAAGGGAAGAGTGCGCTTTAATTGTACGATACGCTCGCATGAATGATGATTTAACGTATCTTCGAATACTCATCAGTGAAAAAGTTTCAATTGGAAACGATCAGGAGAAATTTATAAGAATTTATTACGTAAAATGCGATGGATTATGCAACTAGGAAAGGAATGGTTCCACGAATAAGTCGAAAGCGAGTACGAATCTTTCCTCGCTCCATAAAACAAACATAATCTTGTAATTAAATGCCGAACGGAACGCGCTTAAACATGCGAAATTCCGAAATTAATTCACTTATTATTTGCAGAAAAAACCCAATGACGACGCGTGTTCCGAGTGACGTCTCCCGTTCCTCCGCATCTCCCAGATATGTGACGCGATCAGGCGGATTAATTAGTCAATCAAGCGTTCTCTCCGGTCCTCTCGCGAGAGGATTCGATCATCCAGCCGGTACAAAGGACATATTTTTATCGAGCTAATCTGGGATATTGTCTAGAAGAGGAGCATGACAACAACATCGTTTCTGCTTTCCCTGTCCCGTTGCTCCAGTCGTTTTTCTCGCGACGCATCGTCCGAGTTCAATTCGCTGTAACTTGCATGTCCCGTTTTTGTCGGCTCGATGAACTTCTAAAGATGATCGTCACGTATCGCGGACGCCTACACGCGCCTCTATCGATAGTTTTACACCCTTATTAAAACGTCCGTCGCGCGGCGGGATCTCGTGGACCTACCGGCGATCGCAAATTGGCTAAGCATGCAGAGTTTAAATGGCTCTCTATAACGCTACGAGACCAGTATGACTATGTACCAATCAGTGAGATAATAATAATATTATCGTACGCCACACAATTTCGCGTCTCCCTTTCTTCTCTATCTCCCTTTTTCGTCTTCGCTCTCACGTACAATCGCGTACAATCCAATATCTCCTCAGATTCTATCTGGTTCTGATATATAATCGCTGTACATTTTAATGTCATGACTCGTTCGGAAAGGTCTCTGCCAACCCCTCCGCGGTTTAATCGCCAAATGGTTCGATCGCCTAAATATGCGAACGCTCTTCTAAAAATGTGCAAAACCCCGCACCGGATTTATCCGCAATATTTACAGTATCTTGCGCGCATTGTGATTTACATGTAATAAAACTTGGTGTTTGATAGCAAAGCATTCTCCCATCAAAAAAATTTCCATTACTCGCGTCCTCCCCAACAATTCCAATATCTTAAGATTACAAAGAGGAGACCGCATGATAAAATCCCTTCGACAATGCGCACGCAACTTATCGTCAACGTTATTTTTCACTTCTCGATCAAGGCCACATTCCTCGCATTCGCATTTTAACGTCGTGGTATCGACAAACTTCGTCGTCCTTTGAAGACTGAATAGAAGCGGATTTCCGCAACGATTTACATTTCAGTAATGATTATAATTAAGGAACGACCGACGACTCGCACAATGCAGTTCCGCTATACGTTTAACGTCGTACAAGTTATTTATTTTGCGTATTATACGCAATTATCATATTCAGAACGAGGAGGCAATCGGTATCATATTTCGCGGCTCGGTCTGCACGAGAAAAGGAATGTCGAAAGTTTATCTGAAAAGCGCACGTGCGTAAGATTACAACAAAGTAATCTATCGTGTGGAAATTTATTATTTCTAAGCCGCGATATGATATCGGCTGCTCCGATCCCAAAGTATAATATTATAATTTAAATATTGGTGTATCGTGTCAGACCGACACTCGAGATCTTCTCGAGCGCGATTAATATACCCGATTGAACATATCTGTTTCGCTCGGAACAACGTTTAGAATCTACCGATTGGAACATAAGTCCCTGGTGTGTGAATTTCAATATATTGGGTCCCTGTATTTATATACCACTTCCTCCCCTTTCATCCGACTGATCCCTCCATAATCATTCCACATCCGCGAATCTCTTACATTTATACATATTATGCGCGAAAGATCTCTCTATCGCAAAGGGAGGGGGGCGGGGGAGGGAAGAAAAGAAATGGAGCGATTCGCGACTACTCTTATCTCTCATTTCCTCTCTCTTTCTTTGCTATCTACTTCGCACAAATAAAATTATTCGCTCGTGAGTCGGAAAAGAAGGTCAATGGGGATATCTCGTACATCAAGGGCTATACACAGTTCGCTCTATATTATCATTTGTTAATTAATTCCTTCTAACTATATCCTAACGCCAAGCAGCGAGTCACACCTATGTAAGTTATCGCTTCAATATATCCATGTGTTTATATATTTATGTATAGAGTGTATATATATATATATATATATATATATGTATATATATATGTATATACTAGAGATATTAATATATATATATGTATGATACATATAATATATTAATATGAGATATATTTATGGTGCCAGTGCAAACGATCAGACGCGACGACTTGTGAAGCCGCAAAAGCCGCCGGCAACACGGTACTTGAGCTTCGATTGATCTAATGACGATTGGGACGCAATTTCGGTTCCTACGCTTGTCTAATAAAATCATTAGGTCTAGTTAACGATTGATGATTGATAATTAAATCGTCGGAAGCGAAATTCTCTAGTTGCATGCTTCGATAGATCTTTCCATTAATTTCTTAATCGAAGATAGAAACCGATCATGTATATATATATATATATGTGTGTGTGTGTGTGCGTGTGTAAATTTTATTGAATTCAATTTTACCAATCTAAAGACACGTAAAAATTACCTCAATTCGTTTTCGACTTTGCTTCGAGAAATAGTAAAATACAATGAAATAATTAAACAATGAATATTCTTTTTATTTTGTTAATTAAGATGACTGTAACAATTAAGGATAGATTTAATTACTTTGCTTATTTATAGAGGATTCTTCACGTGCCTATTATTTTCTAACAACTGGAAACTTAAATTCACTGAGATTGCATCAGTTTCGATCCTCGGTTACACAGAGAGATCCAGAATTTATAAATCTTTATACTTGTATTTTTCAGAAAATTATACGTGAGTTCCGAAATTTTACAAGTGACATTAGGAGCTGAAGAGTCAAGCGAGGTCAAGCAATAACTCGATGTTGATTTGATTAAAAGCGTCTTCTCTATCATGAGTAATGAAGAATATTACAGGAAAAATTAAATCTAATTGTGATCGCTGCCTTTATAATAATGGATTTCGCTGGCCGTATTTCACAAGAACAGTATTGAATATTAGCCGCTAAAATTTAGCTATATATTGTACAGATTACCATAAACGCTGTTATTGAAGACTATACGAGATTCACGAAAAAGCTCCTGCAGGGGAAATGCGAAATATGAAATAACGTGTTACGAACTAAAATGCATCAGGTTTTGTATTGCCGAGATAAAAAAGGGCATATAAACGCATTCTTCCTCTATCTGATATTAATTATAGCGCGGGTAGAAGAGGCACTTTCTCTTTTGAGAGTATCGTATTATCTATCTCTTATTTATACATTATAAATTTCAGAATACCGGATGGAATACCTGTGTTTCTTTTTTAATTTTTCAATTAACTTAATTCATTGCTAAATAAAATAGCATACAGGCAATGAAGATATAAATGAAAATCAGCAAACATATTTCATAAAAATGCTCAATTTTTAATAAATTAAAAACTGCGTCTTATACATCATTTCATGTTGAAGTATTTACGTATGATCAAATAACCACATTGCTAATTAAACGAAGAGAAATTAAAAACACATATTATGTTTTTAAAAAAATCTTAAAATGCTGTACATTTTTAGAGTATTTTCCTCTTTTACCCGGGAAGAAATATAGAAATACAGTAAGCGACAAGACATTTGTACATCATGAAATGTATACTTCCACGTACGCATCTCCACATAATTCGATCGAGTCCTTTTGTGAAACTTGAGATTGACAGGCGAAGCGAAACAGGAGCATTCTGCAGGAAGCATGAATTGAATTCGTGCATAGAGAAAAGTATATACGCGACATAAACGATCTAGTGGAACGCACTGCTTCGCTTTAGCGTTTATAAAATAGAAGACAATTATTATCGGCAGAGAGCTTTGTAATCAGTCAGTATTCATAAAGTAAAAGAGTTTGCATGAAACTAACATTACTCTTGTTACCACTGCTCTCATCCTGTTTGCAAAGACCCTACTCGCAATATAGATACTCTTTCTTTTCGTAATTGTACATTATGTATACAGGCATTCGCATTAGCGACGTAAACAAATTTATAATAAACTAAATTTATAATTTATTATAAATTTAAACAAACAGAAGTTCATTATAATATCAGTATTGTGAGACGTAATGGAATAAGACAAGATGCATATAAATACCATTTATAAATACCATAAGTAAATCGCATATTGGATATGCTGTTAAGTCTTGTTGTCATTTATACATATTTGTTTCTACAAAAGTATATATAAATTTTTTATAACATTTACAAATACAGTTTTATCGTATGCTGCCAAATAAAATTCAGTTATTTTGACAATAAAAAAAGAAAATATTCTGAGATTTTATATAAAACTTCAAAGATGACAAATAAAATCCTAGAACGTATATGCATGCAATATTGTCTTATCTCAATTAACGCCCGCATAAATTATATATTCCAAGAATCCAGTGATCAACTCTTAATTATCTACAATATATAGACCCCCTCTAATTCAATTTACATTTATTTCAATGCGGTCCCTCGTTATGTGCATCTGCTGATGAGTATTTCTAACCGGCTCATATATATTGAGGTAGACGTAAAATATTAATTAAGTAGCCATTTCTGTTGCGACTTCACGAGTTTGTTGGCAAGAATTTACAGCGACCAGTGTGTGCGATATATGAAAGTACACACGGATAACTGAGTCAAGGCAATGAGTCCTAATTTTAAACCAAACACGATACCGAGTCCGCCAATATTTTCACAGCGCATTACGAATAGATCCCACGACTCTTGAAATATATTCATAGATAAATTAAATGACGAGTACGAAGAATGCGACACGAATGTGTGTAAAATAATGTATATAAAGTACTATGAAAAATTTCTTTTTAATTTAAGTTCTTTCATCACTAATTAAAAACACGATTTAACAAGTGTACAACTACAAATGGTCAGCCGATGTGTTGAGAGTGTTACGTTAGGAAGCACGCGCGCGGCCGTTTTTTTTCTTTATGTGGAAATCAGCGGAATGTTGCAAGATCTTCTTCTCTAACAAATCCGGATTTTGCGACACTTCGCCCGCTGCATTCGAGAGGCGACTTTCCTTGAGGCGACTTCCGCAATATTGTCAAATCACCATTTGTAAAGGGTATATAACAATCTTTTCGAAACGTTTTCAGTTTCGTAACATTACCCACGCGGAGACACGCTTGTAGCGTACGTATGATTAATATAACAATGTATGTTACAATTTATTTCTGTAATTCATATTATATCAAACAGTTTTCTAGTGTATATATGTGTATGTGTACGCGCTCTTGAAACGCACTTTGCTCTTCGTATGCAAATTGAGTCGCTGAATTATGATTTTCAGTACGGAAATAACACCTGACGTTTACAAGTGTTTTCGGCTTCCTATCACACTCTCGATTTACGATTGCGACTGGGCGGTAAGGACCGGGGTGAAAGTTGTGGGGATATTACAGATAAAACAATAAAAAACGCGATCACTTTTTGATTTGCAGCCACGGATGCTTCAGGCACTCAGCTGCGGTAGCTCGCATGCTCGGATTGAACTCGAGCATCGGTATTAGGAACTCTGCGAACTCGCGTGCTTCGCTCGGCGTCCACTCATATTTCTCTGTTAATACTTCGTATAGACCCCATGGTTTTAATCCGGTAATATGCTTTAATTCACCCTTCCTGTTGAAGTATATCCTTGAGTTCTTCCCCGAGAGAGCGATACGTCTCGGTATTTCTCCCAGCAATTCGATAATATGAGCCAAATGATCTTCATCTCTGAAATGTTAATAAAAATAGATTTAATTCTTTACTTCAACTTTTACAAACTTTATATAATTGCAAATGAATCTTATAATCATTACCTGCAGTAGTCTTTGCCATTGTGCGGTTCAAAAAGATAATCGCCAGTCGCTAATTCAAACGCCATGCAAGCAGTCGACCATATATCGGCAGAGGTGTCATATCCAGAACCTAATAGAACCTCGAGCGACCTATATTGACGAGTTTGAATATCGTCCGTGAATTTTTTATGAACCCAGCATGCGTTCCCGAGATCTGCTATCTTCACTTCTATTTCACAGTCCATTATAGCAGGATCCAGAGGAGACATGGATGCTCGTTTTAATTGCTTACTTTCCGGTGGATTTAATGATCTACGACCTATAACAAGCAAGATAATGGATGATATGGAAAACTGCATTAAGAAATAAAAAGAAAGCCTGTGTTAATCGATAATAGCAATTACTTTTACCTTCGCTACATTCGTCAGTATCATCGGGATCAGGTGATAATATACCTTCGCCACAGCTTTTCTCCACCTCGCACAATGTGACGTTGTCCATCTTTTCAGATTGTTCAGGCGATGGATTCTGTATCTTTTCACCACCCGCTAAACCATCTACTCCATTCATGTGTAAGGAAGGCGCGGATGGATCTGAGATATCTGGAGAACCTTTGCTCTCTGTATTGTCCTCTACACTCTCTGTATTGAGATCTTGGTCTAGACTATTCGTTTCAATTTCCCCGTTTTCTCTCATGCTATTCGCAAGTTTAATTTGTTCCTCTAACTCCTCGATTTGCTCCATTTGCTTCTTTAAGAGTTCGTTCTGGCGCTTGGCTTTCTTCTTTAATTTCTTTTTTTTATTCTTGGACATTTTTGAATTTGGTATCGGTTCTTGAAACTCCTTCGGCGCGGTAGAAATCAAAGATACCGGTAATTTCGCTCCCATAGAATGTAATTCTGTCGCTTCACAAGCTAATTTTCGTATGTAAGTCTCATCGACGCATACAAGAACATTCTCAGGTTTAATGTCTGTATGAATAATTTTACCTGAAAGATAATTCAACATATACTATAAAGCCGTAGATTTATTGAAATCACAATTGTAACGATTTTCTTTCCATTTCAGATTTATGATACTGTTAAAATTATTGCGTAAAGCTGACTAAATATGTATGTAAATTTCAATGCTATCAATGACTTAAACATTCATCTTACATTTATTATGAAGATAGTCGAGACCTTCGAGAACTTGTCTGATGACGCGTTTAACGTTATTTCTTGGAATTCCTCTGTAGTTCGACTTGATAATCAATTTAAGAAGATTATGTCCAAGCACTTCAAATACCATGCAAACATGCAGGCCGTTAATGCCGCTGATCTTGAAGTCATTGAGCAATTGGACGGTCTTATTGCGCTTAGGATCGGTGGGATCCGTATCGCGCACATCTTTTAATAATTTAATTTCATCCAATGCAGTCTCAGTGAAATGGGATGCGGATTTCACTATTTTAAGCGCCACAAAACGTTTATCCTGCAGCATAGTGTCAAAACGTCCCGTGTTTATGTAGGTGTGAAAGAAGATTGATTACTGTATCCCGGAAGCGTACCTGCAAGTCCCAGCAGAGCCATACAGTGGAGAAGTGACCCCAGCCGAGCTTACGAGTGACGTGATAGCGATTTAAAAAGAGATCTCCTATCTTCACAGGATGGTATCCGCCTTTACAGTAGTCACTGCTATCCTCCTGCTCTTCATCCTCAGTACTGAATGCATCATCGTCCTCTATCGTTTCATTGCTGGAACTATGACATGGTACCAATCTACGACAGATTCATCGATCATAAATAATAAGTTATTATAACTAACGCGACACTTGCAACAATCGATTCTTCCTCGTGAACACAACAGCGAGTAAAATTAAGTGAGAAAACGATTGACTTCAACAATTAAGTGTTAGCTAAGTTTCACGTTGCCTATCTCTATGATGATACTCTCATATGTAGCAAGCGCAATTATTATCGAATAATTCAGAAACATGGTTATCAAAAATTATAAATCAATGTTTTCGACATGACTGTCAAGATCCTGATTAGCACAAAAGTTACACGAATGATTATTTATATTTTTTAATTCTTTATCTATAATTACTAGAGATGATTATCCATAAAATTATTATCTTAAATATTAATTATTGTTATCCACAATTTCATTTCCCGGCAATTCTGATGTTTATATAATCACCCATTTATCGATATCTCCGTAACACAGAGACCCAAATGACGGAAAGGAGTCGACCTCAAAACAGAACGCGGTAATTTAACGAACCGGTGATTTCGATGGTTAACTGTCACCATCGAATACACGCGCGTGTACGCCGTGTAATGGCAGTAACGTGGAATACGCGTGTCAATGTAACATCATGTCGTCGTGACGCTTGGTGCACCGAAAAGCGATTAGCGATATAATGTAACGAGTCCGGATGAGTCTTCGTGCCGCCGGCTGTGGCCGGCTGTTCGCCAGGCAATCGGACATGTCGGGGTTACCTGGTCCCGTTGTCGCTGTTATAAGCGCGCTGCGGGGGTCCGTCCGAAACATACTCATAGGTGGTGGTATCGCGTTAGCCGCTGGTACCTGGCCGGCACGCGGCCCTTTGGAACTCTGCGCGTCCTGCTCGCTCTGGGAATTGGCTTTGCCCTTGCGCTTGCTAGGCTTGTGCCGCTTCTTCTTAGCCTGGATCGCGAGTACCCGCCTGTTGACGTCAGTTTTGGCGCTCATCTGCTGCTGCTGCTGTTGCTGTCGCTGCCGCTGTCTGCTATCCTTTTTCCAACGTTCTCTCTGTACGCACCGCACGCACGCAGAGACACGCACGACCCACACTTCCGCCCGTTCCGAGCCGCTCCTTCGTATTCTCCTTGCTACTCGTTACTGCTCCTGCTGTTATCTGTTAGTTCTGTTGCTGTTGGCTCGCCCTCGCACACCGATATATCGCGGTTACACTCGCGCCGACCACGATTCGATTCGATTCGGCTCGGCTCAGCTCAATTCGCCTCCGTTTGTCGTCTTGTCTCTTTTCTCACTTCCTCTCTCATCTCTTTTCGTCTTTCTCTCTCTCTCTCTCTCTCTCTCTCTCTCTCCCTCTCTCTGCCCGTTCTGCAGTTTCACGCACGCGGCCCGCTGCGTGCGATTTGCGAAGAGGAGTCTCGCTTTTTCTCTCTCTCTCTCTTTCTCTCCTCTCTCGTTTCTGAAATTATTTAGCTCATCTCTCGTAGCCGCGCACTCCGCTCGGCCGTTGTTTATTGAGTATGGCCGTCTTCGCTGGTCTTCGTTTCTGGTATGTCGCACTAACGAACGAACGCACGCACGCACGCACGCACGCACCGTTCGTGACGTCCGTGTGTCCGTTTGTTCTTAATATTCTTGTACATACGCGCGTCTACATACTTATAATCGAGCAGGTGTCGTCGTGCCTTGTCCGCTGGCAGGTCGTCGACGCCACGCACCGTACTCTACCCAACTCTATCGTCGCCTGTCACATTCACCACTGTCGTTGCCGTCGTTGACGTTGTTGTGTTGTCGGTCGGTTTACTAATACAACATATTACGCTCAGCTGCCTCGACTGTACGCCGTGCACACGCGATTCGCGAATGCCTGGCAAACACAACGAGCGCGCGATCTCCCACCTCGTCTCACCTGCGACGATTCCTTCTGGTCGGTGCGGCCTGCGGTGGCGACTTTAGTCGCCGGTTTCGGATTCTACGTTTCTACGTGATCTACGTCAGATCGTCAATCGAGCGTCCGTGCGCCCGCGATTACGCTTCTCTAGCTCCGCACCGTGGCGGTCCGTGGCAGCAGACGACTGACGAGACAGTCGCGCACCTAGGTGACCTAGGTCGTCTCGGCTGTGAACGCGGCATTACCTCCCTTTTCTACGTTTCATTCATTCGTTCCTCGCGTCCTCTTTATTTGTCTACGCCGGGGAGAGTGAGCTGAAGGTACCGTCTTATCTAGAAAGACCTTCCATTCTTGATATTTTTTTTTTTTTTTTTTTTTTGGAGGATTAGGACGCGATGACGTCTGCGTCGCGGCGATTGCGCGTTGCGCAGGTCCCGCTGACTCGGACAACAGTATTTGAGAAACAAATTATTGGATTAGTGGCGCTCACGCGGTTGATATCGACGCAAAGTTACGCAAACACACCCGAATATCTAATTAGCTATAAATACGTTGACCATATTTTCTTAAAGAAAATAAAGGACAAGTCTGAAAATTTTAGGGCTTTGTTTCTATGTTTTCAAACCAGTTTGTGACTGTCAAGAATCTGTGCATTATAAAATCTTATTATACAGTATAATCAAATTGAAATAATGCGCAATTTGCTGATAGTTTGAAACAATACGGTCTGGTTCGACTGTATTAAAATAAACTTTTGGTCTGAAATAATAAAAGATAGAAACAATTGTAGTTTGAATAAATTCAATTTTAAAAATTAAGAAATATAAAAAATTAACAAAAATAAATTGTATTTATATGCATGAAACTGTAAAATATTTTCCGTGTTCAAAAATTTGTTCATTAATATAATATTATATAGACATTTTATTATATAGACAACACTAATTAGAAAAGAATTTTCCGTAATTTCCAAATAAAAGACAGTATAAAGGATAATATTGAAGAATAAAAAGAACAAAATTAAAATGAGTTTTGAAAACAATAAATCTAAAGGGCAGCTATCTAAAATAAAGGACAGTCCTTTACAATAAAGGATGTATGATCACCGTAGCTATAAATTAAGTATAAATTGTCAGGTAATTAGCGAATTATGCGCGAGAAATGACTCATTTGCTTTAGGCTGGTCCTTTTTTTAAGAAAGATTTGAAATAAAAAACGGACTACACTGAAAAATATATTAAATTAAATAATAACTTAATATTTACTTACTAAATAATTATAAAATAAAAAAGTAATAAATAGTTAATAATTCTTTTGTATCAAATAAAAAAAAAATATATATATATATACATATATTTTTTTTTTATTTATACATTTAGTAAACTTTTAGAATTATTCAAACAAACATATTTACTGAAGTTTAGTACATTTTCTTTTAATGTTTGAATACCAACTTGAAGATAAGAAGTACAGTAGCATCTTGTATCTCGTCATGATGATTAACAAATAACATTCGAGTGCCATGAAAAGGTCATGAAGTGCCATGAAATCTAATCCATAAACATATACCCATAATCAGTTTTTATTTCAAAACCATTCTTAACCAACGTTTTTCTCATTGCTTTTCTAATCCAATTGGATCATTACCTGTTTAATTTCTTTCAACATTCAAGAATACGATTTTACAATAATTTTAGTGACCCGAAACGTTAATTTTTTTTTATACGTAATCTATTCAGATGTCAATATATTAATATTCAGATATTAATATTTAGTAATTTTTCAGATAACAAAAAGTCAAAACTCAAGACATAAGATATCTTAAAAATATTTTTAAAATATTTTATGTTTCGTTTTCGAACATACGTGTTGTCTGAGTTACTTTCATATTTTATCATAGCATTCTGTTATATCAGCTTCACTCAAAAACAAATATGCTTTTATATAAATTTGTTATTATTTCTTTTATATGAAAATTAGTAGTGCTTTCTCAGTTTCTACTTTAATTGTACATATAAACATTTTCAAGATATATATTTTTAAACAATATTGTATTATTTGCATGAGCTTCTTACTGTAAATATAATTGTTTTTAATAATAACATGCAATATTATTTCTATATAAAAATTAATGATACAATATTAGATATTTTGCATAGATAAATTAGATTGTTAGTGATCAAATATTTCATAAATTTGCATTAACTGAATTGAACTTTAACATTTCAATAATACTTAATTACGTTTGTAATTATATGTATTATAATATATGTTCACACTCAATTATTGTGATTACATTTTATTATAAAGCTACATTTTATTTATATTAAATATATTTTATTAAATATATTTTAAAACATGTTATTTTACATCAACATTAAATACATGAAACAATTGAATTATAAATGAAAAACAAACATTTTAGAAAAGCTTAAAAATGGATATAAAATTCAATTGAATAGAGAGTTTATTACTAAACCCTTAACAAAAGTTTATTGAACTACAATGGAATAAATGATTGTTTCAAAATAAATGTTCTACTTCGGTTTTTTTCTGAGACAATCATAAGAATTTATTTGAATATCTTAATTGTTTTTTTTTTAAACGCTTTCTACAATGCAAGATGATGTACATGTTCGTAAGTTTTTTTGTATTAAATTGTTTTTCACAAAAATTTACAATTTGCAATGTTATATTTCACAAGGCTATATTTTATATTTTCAATTTGAAATAGTAACAGATGTAATATATGTAATTTCTTCATATTTTTAATTTTGTTTCATTACTATGTTATTTTATATGATACAGATTAATTTTATCGACATTGATCAAATTCGGCCTTTACTTTAAGATCCTCTATTAAGGTACATTTTCACGAGCCACTCAAACCGGCTGTTTCAATGACAAAAAGACGCTAATATTCATCAGTTTGGACCACGTGATCCTTTCGAATGGCTCATGAAAATGTAACTTTATGCAAAGGTGATCTGTTCCGAGCTCCGGTCTTAATTCCATCATGCTTAAACTATGATCAGACTAGAAATTGATAGTTCACTTGATGCTACAAATGCTTCGAAGTATTTTTTAATTGATCAATTAATAAAATTCTTTCTTTCGATTGGTCAATCAAATGCTTCAAAGCATTTGTAGCACCAAGTAGACCGATCCTGAGATTGGATTTTAACCAGTCAGAAGAAAGAAAACCAATCTTAAGTTTAGTGAACTTTTGATTAGTTAAATTCTAATCTAATCTCAATTTCAATCTTTAGTCTGATCACAATTTTAGGAATATTTAGGAGTCTCAGAGACTTGTTCTTTTTAGCCTAATTTCTTGCACGGTTCATTTTTTTTCTTTTTCTCTCCAACATGGAGAGAAAAAGAGACCTTTAACTAAAAAGAACAGACCTAAGTATTATTCCATTTTTGTTACTCATGGCTGCAAAGTAAGATAGAATAATATTTTTGTCGACTTAGAATAATATTTGTGTCACTAAATAGAAGGCAATCTTAGATTTGTTTCTGCACTCTCTGTTCGAAGTCGGAAACAATTGGAGGCTTATCATATGTTATCATTTTCATAAATATTCTACGCGTTGTTAACCGGTATATATGCATGCGAGAAGTAGCGACTGATATTTGTTTCAGAAACACGAAACGGTAAGTTTGTAAAATCTTTGGATATTTTATTACTGCTTTATTACTAAACGCAAAGCAAATTTGGGAGAAATAACTTTCGTCATTCAATTATTATCGTCATGTGACAAAATCTCTAGATCTAGGCTCATTGTTATTAATTACATACATTACAAACAAATCACCTACACTGTAAAATGAGAAAGGTTGATAGGAAAAATGATTGAAACGGATATATTTACAATAAGAAAATTATACTATTACAATTCTGCTATTTAGTTCCAAAGTATCCTTTGCTGTCCTGTTTTGTGTACTGTTTACTTTAGGGATTTAAAACATTTATTTTTTTTTTAAATATATTTGTTATTTTTGTCGATGCATTTATAATCCTTTAGATAGATGCTCTATTAATGAAAAGCATTCTTAATAAATGTTATTGGTTTTTATATGAGAATTATATATACTGTTGCAGGTAGCAATGGGTACATTGGAACTAAAGCAAAGTCTGACCGGGCATAGAGGTAGAGTGTGGAATGTTTGTTGGCACCCCAAGGGTGCGAATCTAGGGTCTTGCGGCGAAGACAAGACGATTATAATATGGGGACTGGAAGGACCCAAGTGGGTTACGAAAATGATCCTTACCGAAGGACATTCCAGAACTATTAGAGAACTGGCTTGGTCCCCCTGTGGTAATTATATCGCGTCGGCAAGTTTTGATGCCACTATTGCGGTGTGGGACAAAAAGTCGGGACAGTTTGAATGCAATGTGACGTTAGAAGGACACGAGAACGAAGTTAAAAGCGTTAGTTGGTCAATTTCTGGACAGTTACTCGCCACATGTAGCCGAGACAAATCTGTATGGGTATGGGAAGTAAATGATGATGAATATGAATGTGATGCCGTTATTAATGCTCATACTCAAGATGTAAAGAAGGTATGTTATAAATTTATCTATTGGAAATCATCATTTAAATATATATATATATATATTTATTTTTAAAAAATCTTCGACTTGTTCTAGGACAGAGCAGAGTTTTTTCGTCCATTTCTCGCGATAATGTTTATGTTCTGAACAGCACATGTTGATAATTATTTACATGTTGTGTTCTCAAGGAGTAATCATGATTGTATAATGTAATTATAAGCACGTCACTGTAAAGAGATATTGTTTTCTATCGTAAATTTTTTCGTATTACTTTAAAATTGTAACTGATGGAAATAGCCCTGCTCTGTCTTATCAATTTATAATGAATATTTCATTTAAAATGAGGATATATGCCTTGAAATAAAAGTTTACTTTTATTTTAGGTGAGATGGCATCCACACGAAGAAATTCTAGCCTCTGCTAGTTACGACAACACAGTAAAGATATTTAAGGAAAATGCAGCTGATAGTGATTGGTCGTGCACTGCAACCTTATCATCTCACACGTCTACAGTATGGAGTCTTTCATGGGATAAGATTGGCAATCGAATAGCAACCTGCAGCGATGATAAAACGGTGAAGATATGGCGGGAATATAAACCTGGAAATGATATGGGCATCGTTACACCGAACAACGAGTCTGTCTGGAAGTGTATCTGCACACTATCGGGATATCATACGAGAACTATTTATGATATCGATTGGTGCAAGATCACAGGTTTACTGGTGACTGCGTGCGGCGACGATATCATTAGGATATTTAAAGAGGATAGCGACTGCGATCCACATCAACCGAGTTTTACAATGATCTGCTCGATAAACAGTGCACACGCTCAAGATGTTAACTGTGTTCAGTGGAATCCCACAATTCCTGGACAACTCGCGTCTGCGAGCGACGATAGTACAGTGAAAATATGGTTTTATAATGAATAAATATATATCTATATAAAATATGTAATTATGTTTACTTTATTTGTATCATTCTTACTTAAAAATGGAATTAAAAATTGATGAATAATAAATAATAGACATTATAAAATGATTTATCGATTTCCTCACAATAGCGCGTGAAAGGGGAATGTTATTTCGTCTAATTTTTACTTTTCTGAATTTCAATATTTAATGTAACAAAATTTGTAATGTATAGAATAACGAATGGTTTTATTTATTACTTTTTTTTTTTGAAAAATTGATGTGAGTTGATTCGAAAAGATTTTTATTTTCAATATCTTATAGTTTAAAAAGTCAATATCTTGATGGTTTTATTAATATTATAATTTGACTTTAATTTTGGGATGAATAACTAATAAGTTTAAATATCTGGATGCTATAATATATTATGTAATATCTTTAATAGTTTGTGATTGAAATATGTTATCTACAGTTACATCTCTATTTTAGGGCTGCATATAAATGCTGAAGCGCTTGTACAACGTAGGATTATCTTGCGAAAATTTTTACTTCCGATACAAATATATTAAACAGTATAAAACAATACGCACGATGAGTAATGCTACAGGAAATAAAGTCGGCATACTTTTAAAAGATGTTGTGAGTGCAATGAATAAATTTGCGGATACATCGCTCGCAGCTTCTTGGGACAATGTTGGATTACTGGTTGAACCTACAGAATCGAAAATTGTATCCCATATTTTATTAACGAATGATTTAACCGAAGATGTTATGGATGAAGCCATTAAATTAAAAACCGATTTAATTGTCACGTATCATCCGTTAATATTTGTTCCGTTGAAATCTATTACAATTAAATCTTGGAAGGTACGGTAAAGTTGTGTGATATAATCTTCGTCAAAATATTATCGCAATCTAATTTTATTTACGTACAATAGGAACGAATAATAGCAAGGTGTCTAGAAAATAAGATTGCTGTCTTCTCTCCGCATACCAGTTTCGATTCTGTGAAAGGTGGTGTAAACGATTGGCTAGCAGAAGCTTTTGGTAAGAAAAAGATTCATTATTATACTTTCATCGTTAAAGCATTAATATTTTACTATATAAAAATTACATTTTAAGAGCTCGAAAGTAGTAAGCCGATTCAACCAAATGAAGATAACGCGACTTATGGATTTGGAAGATTATGTACCTTGAAGAACCGAATATCCGTCGATGAAGCAGTAAATTTAGTGAAGCAACGAACTGATCTGAAGCATGTAAGATTAGCACGTGCGCGAGGTACAGGTGAGATCTTAACAAAAATAATTTATTATTGCTGGAAAAAGAAATTTAGTTTGATGGATGACATAAATATAATTATCATATATTTTACATTATCATTATTATATTTTAGATGGTTACATTAATACCATTGCATTATGTGCTGGAGCAGGTGTGTCGATATTGAAAGGAATATCTGCAGACTTATATCTCACGGGAGAAATGTTGCATCACGATGTATTGGATGCTGTACATCAGGGTAGTCATGTTATACTAACAAATCATTCCGATTCAGAACGTGGTTTTTTAAAGATATATGCTTCGATATTAAAACGTAATTTGCAACAACCTGTCGAAGTGTTCGTCTCTGAAAGTGATAAGGATCCATTACAAACCGTGTAAGCCGTGTTATAAAAAAAAACATTCACTATATCTCTTACACTATATCTCTCACAGCAATCATATTTGATTTAATAGCGATTGTACATTTTATTATATGGAAGAGGGAAACTGTAATGTTTTGGAAATAAAGATCTTTTTTTTTCTTTTTATTGAGCATCATGTACACTTTACTCTAATAGAATTTTAATTTTGAGATTTACTGTAATGTTTTTTTTAGTATCAATCATTAAAAGATTATGTACAAACAAGATTTAATCCAAGAAATATCGACTGTCTCGTTCTCTTTCTCTTCTTCCTCTCGAATTCGCTAACAAGCGAATCTTAATTCCTGGAAAGCACACTGCAAGATATTCTGTATATACATATTAGCAATTAGTAGATCGTTTATCATGATTCAAACACATTTTAAATTTTGATTTTCTCACATCCAATTTTGTAGTTTATTTCTAAAATTAAAAAAAAATATTAATAAATCTATAAAATTATTTTTCGAATATAATATCGTTTATACTCAAAGAACGAAACCTTAAATGACATACGATTGATATATTTAATCATAATTGATTTATTTGCACGACAATAACAAATATTAGATATTACTTAATAGACTCATTAAATCAAAAAGTAGTCGACAGTCTCAAATTGCCTACACAATTTCGGCCACGCACGATATACACATCCTAATTTGTAGAACGACTATGATATACAAGTATGAATCCTGAGAACAAGATGCCATAAATCTGAAATCATTTGTTTAACTCGTTAAGTAATTAAAATTTTCAAGACGCACAATCTAACATTAATCCTAGATACACACTTAATGTAACAATTAATTTGTAACACTTAAATTTTTTTTCAATCGATGAATCAAGGAACAGGCCCATAATTTATAAAAATCGATAGAATGAAGGAACTCCAAGAGATACGGGTTGAAAAAAAAGAAAAAGGAAACACGAAAAAATCTCGATGGTTGGACTCCAATGTGTATATCTAGGATTAATCTAAATTGTTTTGGTTTTCTTTTTGAATAAATATTAGAATCAATCTTCATGATAAGCTTTTTTGTGTAATGTAATATATTAAAAGTAATACATTAAATATATAAAGTAAAGTCATATTACATCAATATTCGTACAGTAAATAAGGATTGAAAGATAAAGTTTTAAAACCTTGAGTGTTATAATCTGAGCAATAGATATCAACTATTATAATGATAGTATTTTTTATAATTATCGCCATCATTTACAAGTCTGTAACAATCATTCGAGGAAATATAGATCCTCGTCAAAGAAATTGGTTTCAATATCAAATAAAGCGCTAACGATTGATAAATCGAATCAACGAATAGAAATTTAATGTAATTACGATATAACATTTGATGGTTACTGAAGCGCATTCTTTCATTTGAGTGCGTCAAATTTATCGGAATTCTTTTTGTATTGAGGATGATTATTCGTTAAAGAACAATTTTCTCTCAAAAACTTATACGTTTGTGCGGATGATTCCAGCCATACCCAACGTGACACGCTCATTCATACATCATCGAATATTTCCATTTAGCGGCTTTACAGTGTATTTTATGTATATATATATATATTTTTTTTATACGTGGTTTTTTTTCTTCCCTCACAACATAATAATAGATTTTAACATGCATCTCTCTATGTTAAAATCTAAATTATTCTTGTAACAGTAACATGTACGTAGTTTTTTTTTTGGCAAGTGCAACGTATTGTCTTGTAAAATGTGGTAAAGCAAAATAGATGTAACGTTATGTGTTGCTCGGATCTGAGCTTTCCAAATTAAGTAATCAGCAAATATTTTCGCAAATGTATTCGATTTTCGTTACCCTGTCTTCGCCCTAAATCGCACATTTACAATACTTTAGCATCAACACAAATTTCGTCTTTTTTTTTTATTTCTTCCTACGAGACCGTTTTGTCGCTTTTGTCTTCGGTTCGTCGCTTTCAAAGTTTTGTTCTTATATTTCTTTTAGTACATTACGATGCTTTTCTGTTCCAAGGTACGATTCTCTCTCGCCCATTTATATTCGCCTATAGACCTTCGCAAAGTACGCTTATTGACGTAGACAATACGTAGGCGACGTTGTGCAGTTCATAAAGGATATCTAATAATTCTCGCGCAAGGTATAAAGATTAATTTGATTGACGACTATGTTACTTATATAAAGGCTATCTTTCAATAGAAACAAAATTTAATAACAATAAATTATAGTAAATAACAATAGTAACAATGTACTCAAACAACAATTGTACAATATATATCATGTTATCGCGCTGAAAAACTCTCGAACTTGTATAGTTTATTTTATCGATCGTTTATTCATACGAGTTGCGTAGAGTGTTGCGTGAGAGGAAAAATCAAACGGTTGAAGTGCGAAAGAAAAATTGAAAGAAATGTATCTAACTAACGTTTACGATGGTCCAGCTCTACATCTAATATGGATGATTCAAGAAGGTCAAAAGCGTCGTCGAGATCATTACAAAAGGTAAATTGGCTAATCTGAGCTGTCCGCCGTGCTGCATCGCAGCTGGATGTTCCCCTGTAAAGCGAAAGATTAATATTCTCCTTTTTCTTCTTTCTTTTTCTTAATGGAGAGCCGAGTGCGGCTTCGCGAGGTAATATTTATTTTCTCGCAATATACCGGATAATCGAGGCTGAATAGCGCATAAAGATCGCTATTAGGTACATTAAGCCGCCATACAGACGTTGTAACAACGTAACAGCAGGTGCGTTATAAGATTAAGAAGTATACATACCATTAAGTACATGTACTAAGACTGTCTTTGTATTAGCATTACTGGGATGGCAGGTGTATTGTCCGCTGTCTGCCGGTTGAGCACGTTGAATTAAAAGGTATGACGTCGTAACCTCGCCCTTCTCCGTGATAACCGATACCCCGCCTCTCGGACTGTCATAATTGATCACCTGTCACATGCAGGTTCCGGAAAAAAATGTTATTCTAATTAAATCTCTTCCTGTAACGCTTATACAATAGTGTCCGACAAACCAACGAAGAGATCAATTAATGGATGATTAATTAATCTTCCGTCGGAAAAAAAAGCTCAATCGTGAACATCGGTGATCGGTGATGCTTCGCAGAAGAGAGGAACGAAAAAAAAAAGTAGCAGAATCCTTTTCGTTTTAAACGTAAATGCGAGAGACGTGAGATAAATCTTTAATTCCGTCATTCTCCATATGAAAGACTTTATGGAATTAATTTCGTGTTTCAGTAGTGTCTCGTAAAACGCATCGGGATACAATTGCAGTTTAGAGTTAGTATTTTATCGAGAAACTTTTAATTCTCTTTTAATTTACTTAAATAAACGTACGCTTTTTTTTACACATAGTCAGTGGCGTGTGTTATCGTATTTATGTTTTTTTTTTGTATTTCGTACGCGGATTAAAAACGGTAGCTTTCCTTCGTTCCAGCTCGATCGTGTTTCCCAGTTTGTAAACTGGTGGGAGTCTAGTTTTGAAAACTTTTGGTGAAACCGATATAGCAGTTATCAGTTTATGTCTGTATTCCGCTGAAACTCATAATGTTTCAAAGCTGAACTTACAACACTTCCAAAATAAACGAATCGTATGTCACTCTGTTGCAGAATGGATTTCAAAAACTTTCGGAGAGATGCACACGGCGGAGAAGTACTACAAATCCGAAAATACAACTACAATTCAGGATATGTCGTAGGTTTTATAACTAAATGTTGTTTTTGCGTTATTTTCTTTCTTACAGTTGAGCATCGTTTCCGCGTTTCAGTATACGACAATTTCTTTATCCGCTCCTATTGTCGTTTTAATTTCTGTCCACATCACTTATTCATTCTGCCTCTTAAATTTAAGCAACAGCTTTTTATTCTTCTCACGTTCGTGATAGAAATGGATTTTGATTGAATCATGCTGCATGCTTATTACATTTTGCGACGAATCCTGTATTATCCGCAACAGCATGTATTCACGTAATGCATATTTATCGAGAATCTACAATAGATTGCCACTTGCGACTTCAATATTAAACAAATAGTGATTCATGTATCCATTCGGATTCGCGAAAAATGTAATATACGAATATCTCTAAAACGATTTGAGGTATCAAAAATTCTGTCTAGTGTCGCATATTTCATGTAAAAATTTCAAAGATCGTGTGTGCATTCCCTATATCAGAGACCGAAAACGAAAAATATTTCATTTGCTTTTAGTCAGAACGAAAGCAAAATATTTTATTTGCGTTTTCCTTTGCCATACAAATCAGATATAGCCCGAGTGAGTTTTTTCTGAATCAAAATGAAAAGTCAATTATGAAACAAACCCTCTATATTTAATGAAGTTTCGATATGAGCGGAATTAATAACTGTTCAAATAATTATTTTAAATATCAATGTACATACACATTCCTGTATTCTATCAGTATTTATGTAAGTATATGTAAGTATATATACATATGCATGTTTTAAATACTATTATTTGTATGTAAATATATTTTATTATCGTTTCGTCGGAATAACTGAAGAAGCATTTTTTTAAACAGCTTTTCGCGTTTAGAGATTTTTCGTATCTCTTAAAAATATTTAGAAACGAGAAACAGCAGCACATATAACTTCCATTAAACTTTTATTTAATGAAAGTTTTAGTGTTTAACACATAATATTAACATATTCTCATTTCATAAACCGATCCAACATACATCAGCATTTACATGCCGTTACTACGGTTACATGCCGTCAGCGAATTCCAATGTAACAATGGCACGACGGCTAAATGCTGTTGGCGGGCCACAAAATGTCTAAAATTCTGAAAGTGCAAAATATCAAATTGGTAATACTTAGTAATTGACATTAATATTCATGTTTTTAGCTCTCAAATATAATGTTTATTTTTCTGTTTCAGCATACGTGATTCTGTTAACACAATATCTTTCTTTTTATCCATGCGGTATACGGTTATAATTATTATTTTCAATGAATAAATATTTTATAATATCTATAAAAAAATAAGCATGAATTTAATCCCGTACACGAATTTGTTTTCGAGTTACAAAATATGCACCCTTTTAGAAGATTATTTCGAAAAATTCGTATAATATTTTATTTTATTCCACAATAATCTCTGTGCCTATAGAATTTTTCAGACCTGATAAACTCCGGTATGATACTTTCGAAATTGAAATGTTTGTCTAAAGAATCTGAAGTCAAATAATAATTCAAATTAAAGTTTTTTTTTTTCTGTCATGTAACTTTTTC